CATGGTCGCTTCCTCGGAAAACGATAAAATCGCTGTCCAAGCTGCATAACAAGTTCAGTCAGTATTCGATTCTAATTTGGCTGTGGTGGTGAGTATGTACGTACCGAATGTCAAAAAGACTATAAGAGTTTCGCCCCGTCACTGAGGCGAAGGGTTTAAAAGACGGCATAGCGACGATGTTTGTCGTATAAGTGGTTGTGGTTTGCTGCAAAGCAGCAAAGTGTAAAGGGTTCAAAATGAATTGGTTGCGAAACTGCCGAGAAAGGGAACTAGAAGGGACGAGAGAATAAATTGGAGGAGATGGAACGCTTTTATTTAGATTCACGACCAAGTCAAGTGCATGAGTGACGAGTTGCAGCAGCCCAAGCCACTCACGAGTCGACGGGACGTTGTGGATACGGTACAGCCTCTAGAAAACTTGAGTGGGGCTACGAGATCAGGAAAAGCCAAAACCTACGAGGATCAGGTTAAGCAAGGATAGGAAAATGGAACTTCCATGCAATGGGAGGCGAGGGTCGATAGCGCAAAGCAGAGCAGATCAAGCGGCGCGGCGTCTGGTGGAGTCAGGATTGCGACAAAAGTAGAAAAGAGGGTCTTGTTCTGATAAGACGCCCACCGTGTCAGTCTCACTAAAGATTTGACATCCAAACGTAGCAGGGGAGAGAGAGAAAAAAGTTGCGAACAACTAGGATAAGTTTAGAGAGGCGGCAGGCGAGGGTAGCGGAAAAGACCAAGGTCAAACAGGGTCTCGATTGGAGGCGGTAATGGACTTTCCTTTAATAGTGGTGTGGACCACGACGATGCTTCCAGATGCGTATGACAAGAAACATGGAGAATAGGAACGGGACGTCAAAGAGAGCAAACCGAAGCGGTTTGCATGACATCTGATGCTCGCATCTGGCTTTGATCATGACCAGCCAAACAGTCTACGCCATTGGCACAACAGTCATGTCAGTCAATCAGTTCAGTGATATCATCCCTGTATTGCCCAAGTTTAGGGCATGATCCAGTCCCGTTTAGGTAGTGATAAGTGATTGCAGGGGTCTTTCTGCCCTGTTGAAGAAGTTCAGTCAGGTCAGTCTTGTGCACAACAGTTCCCGTTGCAAAAGCCGGGCATACGGTCATGGTATTATGGCGCAATCGACGCAGGAAAGGCATTGGCTGCGACAGCAACAACAGGTCGAGATAGGACAGCCCTGCATCTAGCTGCAAGTCTCATGTATTATGTATCGCGTGTATCGTACGTGCCCGGGAGGTTGCGAATGGTACATCAAATGGAAGTCGGATGATGACGGGCCGGCAGTCGAAACAGATATTTACGGCGAAAACTGTGAAATTGCCTTGTATCCGTACACAGGTTGAAACGGATCAAGGAACAGTAGTGCAATCTGTTGCTACAGATAAGAGGGCCTTGTTGCGCGTAAATTACATATCTCGGCCGTTTTGTCTTGTTAGCGAGAGTCGACGTGTTTTAGGCCGAAGCACGCAAGAGACTGTGCTACTGGCTTGGCTGATGAGTGATTGATATTGATCAAGGCCATGTCATGTTGCGCGCGCAAGGGTCGGTGGGGCGGAGGCGCCGGCCGACGCATTGAGGCTGGTTCGCTGTTGCATGAGTCGGGACGATTCGTGGCATCGAAGCCAGATCGAAGCTTTTGCCCTGCAGTTTCAAACGCTGTACCGAGCGACTGTGCTTCTACCGCCGAAACGCCGAGAAAAGGTACATAAACAAGGTACCACAACACCAAGTTTGCATTTTGGAGTTATCGGGACGACAAACAGGAATGACTTTACAAATGTAGCTAATGGACGATGATGACGAAGAGATGCTTTTGAGTGTTGGTCTGGGTAAGATGATGATAAAAACCTTTTAACCTTTTGTGCATACCTTAATGATGAAAGAGGTATCATGGAAAGTACTTACAGCCACAATCACATTCACAGCCACAACGATTGCTTCCAACGTTCCTGCATTCTGAACCATCATTGATCATGGCTTCATCGATAAGCTCTCGAGAGCAAGAACGGACTTTAAATGGCGACCTACGGAAATCATGGAGAATCAGGTCCGGAAGGTATTAAACTTGGTTCTGACTCAATTTCAAAAGATCTCACATTCTTGCGGCTCCACCATTTTAGTCTAGTCTTTTGGTTCTTTCCCAATCCAGTGCAACATGCCAGGCACGTTGTTGTTGCGCACGGCCATAACACGGACTTTCTCTTCGAATATTCGCTATCGTTTCGCTGCTTATCGGGAGATGGGGCTATTGGCTCGACTAACTGTAGCCAAGAATTGTTCATCGATTTTCTCAAGCTATTAGAGTATACATTTGTGCTACTGTTCAACACATCTTCTGTGTCCCCTCCATTGTGTCTGATCATCATATGATTCTTGTACACGGCGGGTGCAGAATATGGGGGTTTCAGCGTTGGGGGCCACGAGACTATTGCTGCAGCACATGCAGGATTCACCTGAGGTATATCTTTAATCGGGAAAAGCGAGTCCGGATCAGTTGGCCCTGGCCTAGAATCTCACTGAGATTGATACTCGTCTGACGGTATCGAGTGGGGGTCACTGATGTCTAGAACTCGGTCATCAGGATTTTGCCAGCAAAGGCAGAAACCAGGTTCTACCTTTAGCCGGTCAGACCATGGCTACATGTTCTAGGATTGTTTCCCCGCGACAATCCTTCAAACATTTTCAATATCCTCGGTTCGGGACTGGCAGCAAACACAGTCTCGTCTGCTGTGCCTATACCAATAGCCGTGCCTCTCAAACAGACGGTCTGGCCAGGCTCCATTCTACCTCCCTTACAACTCACGACAACCCAGTCGTACGTAAACCGGCCCCTTCTATTTGACTCGTCTCCATCAAACAAGCACCCGTCACCGGCAACTAGGATGGCACCGTGCCGTAACAAAGCACCGAGAGAGCACAGAGAAAAACATAGCTTAAGAGAGGTTCCACCATTCATGAACCTGATTGCTTATTAGGCGCCACCGCTTCATGATACAATTTTCCTCTGCCCTAACAGAACTCGGTTCTTTGTACATATGTGGCGGTGCCATGTCTGGACAGCCTCAATTTCCGACTACTACATATACCTAGGTACTTACTCTTTGAAGAAATTGGCCGGCGATACACCATCTCTACACCGACATATACGAAGAAACGTTCTAAAAGGGATCCGGGTCGCCATGTATCCGTATACGTACGACGTTTCCTGAAATTACAACTGTGAGACAATCTTTACTCGCTTAACTACTTCAAACTTGACTAGAAACAAACGAATCCACTGATCTTTTTGTTGAGGGCTTTCATTCTCGAAAACCGGGCCGTTCGATCGGAAACTTAGTCACCAGGACCCATTATTGACAGTCAGCCCTGTGTGATACAATCGCCTACTATCAAAGCACGAAATTTGGAGCATGTTCTTGGTTGGTTGGTTGAGGCTTTTAGCCAGTTGAAAGTCCTTGACGCTAAAAACACGATTGATACAATCTCAGTGCCAAATACTCGAAGACAATTCTCCGACACTCGTGGTTCACTTACAAGATCCGACTACATCATGGTATCATGATTGCAAAAGTTAGCCCCGGCGATTTGTTTACTTTCTGTCAAACGTGTAAAGCAGAAGACTTCATGATACATGCTCATCGTAGTTCGCGATTATCATGCACAATGTTTATATCTGTTTTATTCGCCAACGGCGCCTCCATCTCTTTGTTCCTCATACTCTACCCTATCGGGTTATATCAACACATCCTCCTACAGGCGGTGTCCAACATTTAGCACACACCATCAGACAAGCCACCGCCTGATGGTCTATCCTGCCCCTGTCTATCACGTCTGGTTCGGTATCGGCCGTGTTAGTGGACTGAGTGGCCCCTCTCTCCTTTTCCCAATTTGCAAGGATTACAAGCAACGACTGGCTCTGATCCAGCCAGCCACATGCAATCTGATATCGGGATTTCTCGTGTCTGAAGAGGCTCTGAGGTTCCAACAACACTTTTCAGCCTCCTAGGCTTTCATGAGGCCTGATCCTTGCTTGACGCACAGGCGCGCGTCGATTCGGTAGATGACACCCGGTCGTAACGGGCGTATAAGCTTGCATTAGTCTAGTCAAGTGTGAAGTGCACGATACACAAATTGGACAGGGCAGTGATTTGTTGTTCGTCGTAGCAGAATCTACTTCATTGACTAAGCCATGCAATTGGATAAACGAAATCGTAGTATTACGGCCTATGTAGATGTTTATGCATTCTGTATACATTAGGGATATCATATAGAATGGCAGTTTGCGAGTTCCAAGTCCTCCCTCGTTATACTATCACAGACTTCACATCTCTTCGACCTTGGTACGTGCTCGAGTAGATTCAGCCTCTTCGTACATCCATTCCTTGCTTATCTCAAAACATGCCGCAATTGGATGTATGTAATCGTTACGTGCGCTAGCTGTTATCCACTGATATCTCTAGGAACAGAAAAAACCAAACGCTTAAAATCAGGGTCCTGCAGCTATAGTGGACCTCAAACACGGCAGCTTGTTGCTCACCGAAGAGCCTCCGGTGGCCATGTGGGCTCAACGGAGACGTTTGGTCGATAGGACCGACTTAGTCTTTTTCCTGGGTGCCCAAAAACGGATTCCCGAGACCTATATGACTCTTCGACTATCCCAGCCGCGCCTGAGCAAATTTGTTAGCTGCCTTGGAGACACAATTTGTTGGCGACCAGGGCTGAAAACTTGTCAAATAGCCAAGACTTGAAGTGGGTTTCCTATTTCTGTTCCTAATACGATTTCAACGTCAAACTCAATACGTAACCTGAAAGCGACCAATAATTGAAACGATAACGGACACCCCCTTGCCTCCAAAAGCAATTGCTCTTATACGAGCGTGTTGCTGTCAAATATGAAAATGTCGCCGTGAACTCCAATTCGTCGTCGCCTCCATCTCAATCAAATTTCATGAGTGTTTATCGCTCGTTATGGACCCGCTCGTCATGACGCTGCTGCCGGGGCATCTGCTCCCTTGGTCTGTGCCGCAAGCTCCGATCCAGGTCGCAACCACGTTCTCATATGTCCTATTTTCAGAATTTCACATGTCAGCGCATGTCAGGAACAAGCGATCGTTGATCACCGATAGTGTAGCCGGTCCGGCAGATCGATAAGAATAGTTTGTTGATGGTTACTCACCGGACTTGCAGCTCGTGATGATAGCATCTTCTGTGAAGTCCAGCCAACACACTGGGTGCGTGTCGATTGATTTGTTCTGTTTTATCTCACAGTTAGCTTGCAGGATCTCCAAACCAAATCCCCATCACATGTCGTCTAGTCCTATCAATACTTACGAGAACGGGGGGAAGCATTGGAATTCTAGCTCGTGGCTCAACAGGGTGTGCGATGGCCATCTCTTCATCTTCGGTATCAAGGTTGGAATTAGATCGTAGGCGCGAGTTAGATGTGGTGGCCGTCTCAGCCCTCTGCAACGCCGTATAGCGTGACGAAATCGACCCGCGGTGTCTCACAGATTGCTACATGAGGTATATTGTCAGCTTACAGCTTCTCTTGAGGCATCATACTTGTCGGAAGGCGGCAGTGCAATAACACGCTTCCCTTCAGGATTAATGAGGATAGTGGCACATACCGCTTTGGGTCGGTGAAGCATGCCAACACTAAAGTCCCACAAACACAGGCGTCCATCTTCTCCTACGCTACCAAATCGGTAGTTTCGTTCGTCACATCTCCAAGGGTCAAATGCAACAGCTGACACCCAAGACTGGTGTCCCTGGCATCTGGCTACTAGCGCTGATTCTGATAGTGACCAGATAGATATCAAGTCATCTTGACCACCAGTCAGCACGTATTGACCATCTGGAGACCAGCAAACGCATGTGAGCCCGCCATAATAGGAGTAGAAAACGTCAAGGAGCCTGTGAACCAGTCAGATAAGCTTTCCAAGCCGTGTGTATAAGATATCAGGATTCATACTCCTCCTTCAGATAATCAATGATCCTTAGCGTACCATCCTCTGAGACCACCGCCAGATGTCGGTTATCTGGTGAGAATGAGAAAGCATTGATTCGATGGTTGGATAATTTCCAAGCGGCAACTGGGTTGACCTTTTGGTTTTTAGAGTGGACGGACTTGTTGATACGGATGGTATTGTGATGAGTTCCAATGTTGTTGGCGTCCAGCGACTCGCCACTGGCCCCGTTTGCCATTCCGTTCACTGCCTCCTCTTCTGGATTGAACTGAGCATCTTCTTTCTCCTTGTCGTAAACCACGAGCGACCCATCCATGTGAGCAGCCAAGAATAGGTTTTCGGAACCAGGGATCCATCGGATTGCTGCCACTGGCGTTCCGTTGATAGCCCCCTATCATTGGTGTCAGCAGTTTATACGGTATATCTCGGAATCTTGAGTGCTTTCTCACGTTCTTGTTCAGTCGAGTATAGCGTTGTGAGATTGGCTCCCACCAGATAACTTCGCCAGTAGAGAAGCCCATGATGACATCCAGGTGCGAAACGCTCTTGGTGTGGATATTTACGTCATGGCATAAACAATGCGCTTTTGTGAAAAGAATTTTGGTAAGATAGTCTTGCTGCTCAGGATATCAGTGTGTGTGTGAGACTAACTGGATTCGCAGTTGGACGCACTTTTGAAGAGGATGACATATCAAGCCATTGGAAGGCACGGTTAATATTGGCAAATGCAAAAATACCATCGTTTGGTCGCTCTGTAAGCTTCTTGGAGAGGCTCTCGTTGACGATAACGCGTGAAATAAAAGAGGAATTGCTCTTGGTCATGTTGTTCTTGGGCTTCCTCTTCTTATTCACATCCTTGGTCGGTGCCTGAGTAAGTAAAGCGTTGCCTTCGCCAAAAGCAGGTGCCGATCCTATGGTTATGGAGGCTGAGGCAGCGGCAGCATCACTAGTTGAGCCAGTTCGACCATCCTCGCTGGCCACACCTCCCTCGGCAGAGTAACGGCCCTCATTAGGGTGTTCCTGAATACTCGACGGAGCACCACTCAAAGCAAGGGTAGTGGACGAGAGGCCTTTGTATAAGAAGTTCGGGGCCGGTCGACTTTCGAGAGCGATGAGGGAAACTGAGGTACCAGCGCTGGCAGGCTGGGGAAGGGTCGATAAAGGGTTCGGGTTCGGGACGGTAGCTTCGGAAGGATGGGGAGGAGGTGTCGCAAGATGTAAGTCTTCTTTCAGTGTGTATGTTCCTGTCGTTCTCTGTCAATTTCTGTCCAGATGACCCGGCGCCAGGCAGAAATGTTACCTTCTCCGACTAAAAACTGCCACTCGGGGCCGGTTGGGTTTGACAACGTATTGTTTGTCTCTATCATAGGTACAGGGTGTATTCCACCGGCGCCATATGGCCCCATGGTGGGATACCGCGGCGGAGGAGGTAGAACACTGGAATCTCATGGCGTCAGTTTGTGTCAGACGCAAAGCTGTCGCAAGAGCATGCGTGCGCAGTCGGGATATTGTACGTACAACATGATGGGAGTATATGCACTGTTTGTATGTCAAATGGGATCTATTGTCGATTCAGTTCGGGCTGAGCCGGTTCTGGTCGAATGAAGATATCGCGATATTTAGTTGTTCGGTGAAGAGGTCGGATACCCAGAGGCAGAGGTGGATGAACGGTTGAGAGGCACAGCAGATCCGAGTCGAAATTGGAAGGTGCTGTACGTCACAGAGGTGGGACGAGAGGCCCCTGGGGTAGATACTTCTAGTGAGATACCGGACTGGTGGTGAATTGACTTGTTAGGCTTGACCTTGTAGTATGAGGCTGGTAGGAAACAGCCGAGAAGTATTTGAGCAGCGGATGTTGGACCTGGATCGGACTATGCGCGCAGGAAGGCGCAGACGATAGTGTGGGGTAAGAACTGGGGAAAGCGCTATCAACGGGCAGGGTTCCAGAAGTCAGCGTGGAGGTGACATAAATGTTGACGCGATACGACCTGGACTCTTTCCTATCCGCCGTCGATCTTTCGGAATGCCCTTCGTTGACTGCTTCAATGGCCCGGGTTTTCGGGCTAAGAAATGGCGTATCGCTTGGTGCAGCGAACCGATACCCTCAGCATCTTGAGCATTATATATTATACTGCCGAGGAGGGGAATTCCATGGTACATTTGCATTGGTCACTGGTCTACGTACGACGGATACTCCGAGTATCTGGGCAGTGGTTGGAAACTATCATGGTTTATAAACCTTCAATTACATCCAACAAACATGTTCCTGGCCTCTCAATGGAGTGATGTGTAATTCAAGTGGATTCAATGTGGTGTTGAGGCTTCAACAGGGACGGGAACCTATCCAGATCACTTAACGAAGCAATATACTCACTCTGTAGTGTGAATGACTCCTAACCTGAAGTTGGTGTTAGGCTAAATATATAATCAAGTCATACAATGATTCGAATAAGCGCCCAATTTCAAATTACAGATCCATCCATAGATATTACAAGAAAGATGAGTGTGGAGCGTTTTATTCCCTGTATTCAGGCTCGTGCGGTGAGTTGATGAAGCGACAGGTTGGTTCCACACATGACAACACACCAAACTCTCAGAAGGCGGGCAGGGACGCATCTTTAATTGATCGTCCCCAAAACCGCCCAATCCTTGCTCGTCGCAACACTTCTTTTCTGCTTTCAACCACAACCATCCTAGCACTGTACCTGTCCTGAGTTAGCTGCATCTACTTGTGTTCTTGACGCCTGCACTATTTGCCTTGTCTTGTCTTGTCTTGCATTGCATTACATTACACTGCTGTGCTGTGTTGTTTCTATTTTCAACTGAAACATGGCCTGATAGATCTGCACCTGATAGTCAATCCTCTTCCACCATCTTGCCTCTATCAAGTTCTTCTTCTCTTTAATATCTTTAAACAATTGCCATTGTTCCTCAACACTTTTCCCTCTGCCACTACCCCAACGCCGCTGTCACTGCCACTGTCACTACGATTCATTCCCCACGATCGACGACCGAACCCACGATATCAGCAGACCACAGTCCCCTCTTGGGTATGGAACCTTAATGACGACATACTCGGACCAAAAACTCCAATAATATCTCCATCATGTCCACTGGTACGAACGCCCTATAATCATCATCATATATTTCCGACCCTTGCCAAATCATAACTCGACAACAATAATAATAAGACACCCAAACCAATGACTAACCTCCCTTGTGCAGTTAGGATCTGTGTCTGCGGCGACGAGAGCACTGGTAAATCCAGCCTCATCGCCTCTCTCGTCAAAGATCAGTTTGTCAACAACAAGATCCAGCCCGTCCTTCCTCAAATCACCATCCCACCAAGCATCGGTACGCCTGAAAATGTCTCGACCACCATCGTCGATACCTCAGCCCGCCCACAAGACCGGACGACGTTGCGAAAAGAGATTCGAAAGTGCAATGTCATCCTTCTTGTTTACGCCGACCACTACAGCTATGAAAGGGTAGCACTGTTTTGGATGCCGTATTTCCGATCGTTAGGTGTCAACGTCCCCGTTGTGTTATGCGCCAACAAATCCGATCTGGTCGGCCAGGGTACCACGCCCCAGGTAGTTGAAGAGGAACTGTTACCTGTTATGGCCGAGTTTCGCGAGGTAGACTCCTGCATTCGTACCAGCGCCCGCGACCATCGAAACGTGAACGAAGTATTCTTCCTTTGCCAAAAGGCCGTCACCCACCCAATCGCTCCTCTATTCGATTACAAGGAGGGTCATCTCAAACCCTTGTGTATCAACGCTTTAAAGCGCATCTTCTACCTTTGCGACAAAGACCAGGACGGCCATCTCAACGAGCAGGAAATGCGAGACTTCCAAGCCCGATGTTTCGATAAACCCCTAACGACTGACGATCTGGATAACATCAAGCTCAGCATCTCAAAGTCGTTGCCCGCTTCTGATATGGAGAAAGGAATTGACCTGCCAGGATTTCTGCAACTGAACAAGCTTTATGCTGAGAAGGGACGCCATGAGACTATTTGGATCATTCTTCGAAAGTTTCACTATACCGACAGTCTGAGCCTTGAAGACAAGTTTATTCGGCCAAAGTTTGAGGTCCCAGAATACTCGTCTGCTGAGCTGAGTCCTGCTGGTTATAGGTTCTTTGTAGACCTGTTTCTGACCTTTGACAAGGATAACGATGGCGGCTTGAATGATGAGGAACTGGAGGCTCTATTTGCCCCGGCTCCGGGACCGCCTAGTTCTTGGACTGATTCGTCGTTCCCATCCTCAACTGTGAGAAACGAGGCTGGCCACGTTACTCTGCAGGGCTGGCTTGCTCAGTGGAGCATGACAACTTTCATTGAACCCAAGACTACAATCGAATATCTTGCCTATCTTGGATTTGAGCCTTCAAATCCAAAGGACCCCATTACCGCTGCACTCAAGATCACAAAGCCTCGCAAGAGGAGAAGTCGTCTTGGCCGAGTCGAGCGAAATGTAGTGCTCTGCTACGTTGTTGGTGCATCAGGTGCAGGAAAATCTGCTCTCCTGGACTCGTTCCTCAACCGACCCTTTTATGGTCTGTACCATCCGACTATCAAACCCCGCCGCGCAGTAAACAGTGTTGAGTTGCCTGGGGGGAAGCAAGTCTATCTTATCTTGGAGGAGCTTGGTGAACTCGAACCTGCAATCCTCGAGAACCGTGCCAAAATAGACGCCTGCGATCTCATTTGCTACGCATACGACTCATCGGACCCTGACTCGTTCTCTCATATTGTTGACTTGCGAAAGAAGTACCCGTACCTTGATGAGCTTCCCTCTATCTACACCGCACTCAAGGCCGACAAGGATAAAACCAACCAACGTTGCGAACTTCAGCCAGATCAGTACACCTCTTCTCTTAACATGAGCCTCCCACTGCATGTCAGTGTCACTTGGGGCAGTATCAGTGAGCTTTTTGTAGCCTACGCAGATGCTGCTACAAACCCTAGCACTGCGTTTCCTAAGAGCAGTGAAGAAGGGCCCGATAGAACGAGCCTGTATATCGCACTTGGGGCCACAGCTTGTGCGGGTGTTGCTGCATTGACAATCTGGCGGCGCGCAACTAACGCTTTTTAACTGCAACAGCAAGCTTGGATACAGTCGGATGCATGGGTCATGGCTTTGTTGAAGTCACTTATAAATTGCATGAGAAGGAGTTCTATTTCCCATTTACAAAGAAAATGATACCCAGTTCCAATGATAAGCTTGGTCACAAATAAATATAATAACATCATCTTTTCTTCTTTTGATAAGCTCTTAGTACAATGCGACCCCTCTTATATATAACATGACAAGCTCCCTAACGCCAAATCCATAATGCCGTTTCCTATACCGGTACAAGAGACTAGACCTTGTAGAAGCAAAAGCCGACATAGAAGCTAGCAGCTTCCATTTCTTCATCAGATACGAGCAAGGGACCACCGCCACGCTCACGTACGCCCATACGCTCGCTCAGAGGGCCTAACTCTCGGTCATCCTTCTCAGCCTCCCAGATCTCAGGGAACGTGCGATGGAACTGAAGTTCAAGATTGAATTCCTCGGCAAGAGCACGGAAAGCCTCCCATGGTACGACATACTCGGGTACCTCTTCCACAGCCTCGTCCAGGAAGAAGTTGTATTTCCAACCGTATGCGGGTCGGAACACACCATCATCTGGTGTCTTGTCAGGGAAGCGCACTCGATAGATAGAGTTGCCCCATTCAGCCGTTGGCTCCTCCTCGCCCTCTTCCAGTTCGCCATCCTCAGGCTCTGTCTGTTGCGGGGTTGTTGAGCCGTCGCCGTTCTTCTCTGCTTCTTCCTTGGCTGCGCGCTTAGCAGCAGCCTCCTCATTGAATTTGCGGACTCGCTCGCCCAGAACATCAGAGTTTGGGATGCAGCCAATGAATCGCCCTCCTTTCTTAAGTGCTCCGGCAACGTTGCGGAGCATGTTGCGCGCGTTCTTTTCGGATTCGAAAGCGTAGTGCATGGAAAACATCATGCTGACAACGTCGAAGCCTCGGCGGTTCATGGGTGAAGGGTCAAAGCCGACTTGCTGGATGATGTCAAGATTCTCAATGGTGTCGCCAAAACAATCCTTGACGTGGAAACGAGCATCAAACAGGCGGGGTGCCGGTCGTCGGTGACCGCCTCGTCCTCCTCGTCCTCCACGACTGCCCAAAGTTCTGTAGCGATCGCGAGCTTGTTCGATACTCACGTCAGCCGGGTCCAGACCAACGTAGAGTTGAATCGGTTGAGGAGCCTGCTGCCATTTATTAAGGTCACCGCCCTTTCCACATCCCATATCGAGTACAAGCAGATCTTTACCGCTAGAACGTCCAGCCTCGCGCGAACCAGGGGTATGATCTTCGTCAGGTGAATATCGTTGAATGATGCAACTCTTGATCCAATTGTTGAAAACGCGCAATCCCTTGATCTTGCTGTCCCTCGTTCTCCAGTCGCGACCGCGCTCCGGTACATTGTTGTAGTGTTGTCGCACAAGATCGCTGTTGTTACGAATTCTC